TATATTAATACACACCTCACTTTATCTCATCGTATCACTCAAATGAAAAAATAAGTAATCATTTTTTTCTCCAATCACATCACTTAAGATCTAAATTATCTCAAATTACCATATTTAATACTCTCCACCTAAATGTCTGTGCCAAAAACAAATGTTGCACGATACTTGGGACGGAGGGAGTATTATATTTTAGTTTCAAACCAAAATAAAACGAACACTAGAAAAATGATATGAGTTTTTCTTCTTTTTTTTCTTTAAATTCATAATTTTATTTGATTTTTTATTTAAATAATATTTTGATCATGATGTTTTTTAAGATAAAATAATATTCTCTTCGTTCCAAGTCAAAATATCATTTTTATTATTTGCGTTTGTCCAATTCAAAATTATCATTTTTCTCTTTTAGTAAAAATAAACATATACTAATACCAAACAATTTTTAATTTTTACTTAAATTACAAACATATCATTATACATACAATTACTTTATACATAAAGTCAAAGGACAAAAAATGTCAAAATGTAATACCCGATCCGTAACGGAATCATTTCATTAGATGTTTAATAATATTTAATTGTTTCAACCCTTGTATATGTTTATTTTGATCGAATACAAATTTTTGAGTTTTTATTTGTTGTGGTGAATTTGATCTCATTAGATAAACATTCAAATTATATTTTCAATGCTATTGACAGAGAGTTGCTTGAATGTTGGACAAAAAAGAAATGTTAAATTTTAGTAAAAAAATTTATTTTAAAGAGTTCATGTCACAACTATTAACTTCCAATATTTATCGTAAATCGTGTATAGATTCAATTGATCTGAACATTTACAGATAGAAAGTAATTTCAATTAGTTATCCGTTTATGCAAACGAGAGGTCAATGGGAGGTCGGACGAGTGAATTACAACCCAAATAATGTCTTAATGTCGAGGTTGTACGATTACCATACGGTCAAACGATTTTAAAATACGTGTTTTGCATATTTTGACGAATTAAAAACTTCTCCAACCCTCCTTTCACCCTCATTTCGTCTTCCAACAATGGATATGGTTCATAAGAGGTTAGAGTATCACTCCATTCCGTTCAAAATCGATTTTTACGGTAAACTTTTCAACTAATTTATATTTTTGGATCTCATTTCTATTCTAAAGTATTATCTAAGCTTTGTTTCTCTTTCAATGGTGTAATTGCAGTTTGGGAATGGATGTTTGAGTTCATGTCGAATTTTTTTTGGTGTTGGTTAGTAAATGATGTATTTGAACCTATTTTTCCTTTTACCGATTGAATTTGATGTCAATTTTGAGAAATTGAGTTCAAGTGCGATTTTTTCCAATTTAGTTTCTAAATTAGGGTTTTAAACTTAATTTGGCATGTGGGAGTGTTAATTTATAGGGCTTTCTACATATTATTGCAATGGACCTTAATTATTCAATTTGAAATTTTGAAATTGTACGTAAAACCAACGTCGTTTGATCCGTGTCCTGATTTTTCAGTCTTGTTTTAATGACTTTTCACGTGAAATTAATTTATAAAGGTACTCTAAAGCCTTGTGAATAATTTTGGTGGTGGTTGGATTGAATTGAGGTTATTTGGGAGCGTGTGTGTGATTTTTTTGTTCGAGTTATCGAATTTTGTGCATTATTGTTGTTTGATGTTCGTGTCCTTATTGTGGTTTAAGAACGTTTGGAGGTCCGGCCGGTTTGGGGTTGTGCCATGTTTCCATTAGGCAAGATAAATCTACGGTTAAAGTAAGGAGTTAAATTATGTATGTTTGAAATAAATAGACCGTTATGATTATGTCGTGAATTTGTTGCAATATGATAATACTAATTGCTAAATGAAATTGATGTGATATATAGTGTATATAATAAATTGTTATTGGGTTATTGATGCTGTTGGCGGACAAATAATTATTGGTAAATTGTGTAAGCCATAAATTTGCATTGATTTGGCTAGACTTAGTCGTTGAAAGGCAAGTCGATTGATAAATTGTATAAACTGTGAATTTGACTAGACTGAGTTGTTGATTGACAAGTCAATTGATAAATTTTATAAGCCGTAGATTTGGCTAGACTTAGCCATTGATAGACAAATCGATTGATAAATTGTATAAGCCGTGGATTTTGTTAGATTTAGCCGTTGATTGACAAGTCGATTGTTAAATTGTGATAGCCATAGATTTAGCTAGATTTAGCCATTTTGACAAGTTAATTAATAATTGTATGAGCAGTAGATTTGACTAAAAATAACGGTTACTTTGCAAGTTGGTTGATCAATTGAGTGAGCAATGGATTTTGGATAGTTGTAGTTGCTGCTTTGGCTAACACTTATTATTGATAATTTATTTCATGCATTGTATGTTTAATTTCTTACTCAGCTATTGTTGATGTTACTATTTTCTTCCATGCAGAGTTGAAATTTAAACCTTCACCAACTTGATGCATCGTGGGGATGAACTATTATTATGACCTTATGCAATTACATATTTTAAAGTAATTGTGGGTGTTGGTAAAAATAGTTTATGACTTCTCCAAAATAAAATATTTGTACTTATTTTTATTATATTTTAGTCTTGGCATCGAGACACGTACGTCCATATGTGTTGTTGTTTCGGTGTCGGCGTGTGATATTCCCATAAACTTTTTGGACTGTTACACAAAATTTATTGCACACTTTCACTAATGAATAAAATATAGTATTTCCTCCGTCCGCCTCTAAGGGTCACATTTACCTTTTGCATCATTGTCTTTAACATTAAAAATAATCTTATATTTGTATAATTTTTATACAAAGGTCCTTCTATTAGTATTATAAGACACTAATTGAAGTATTTTTGCAATTTTTTCTTAATTAGTATTACATTTTGATATAATAATTAATACTCAAAGATCAACATGCAAAAAGTAAATGAGAGCCATAGAGCCAGACGAGGGTAGTATTATTTTTTAATTTATTACAAAACAAGTGGAACGAAAATAGTATATTTTTCTATAAAAAAAAAATTATATGAACTAAATAATTTTAATTTATGTTTGAAATAAATAAACAAGCGCAAAAAATATAATTATTTTCTCTCATAAATATCACATCAAAATATTATTTAAATTAAAATTTTAAAATTGAATACATAAGTGATATATTATGTTTGAGTTTATTCTATTTAAATTTTTTAATTTTATAACGGTTTTGTTCACACAAAGTTTTTAAATTGATTGATTTTTTTTATGTAAGGTATGAAAAAATTTGTCAAAGTATAAAATATATTATTTTAAGTTAAATTTTTTATTTTTTGTAATGAGTATTTGAAGTTTTTTTTTTTTTTTTTGCTTTTTTACTTTTGTAAAATATATTTTATATTATTTAATTTTTTTTTTTTTAGAGAATTGAAATTTAAAATTAATATTAGGAAAACGGAACGAATTTTTATTCTTTTTTCAAAAAGTTTTTTATTTAGCATTTTAAATTAAAATTACTATTATTAACAGAATACAGTTTTTAATAAAATATATTATTTTTTCAAACCAATTAAAATATTAACTATGTTCGATCTCATTTATTTTTTGCGTGTTGACTTTTTAATATTAATTATTATATAAAAATGTAGTATAAATTAAGAAAAAATAAAAAAATACTTTTATTAGTGCCTGATAATTCTATTATAACGATATTTATGCAAAAAATTATACAAATATAAAAATATTTTTAATGTTAAATACAATAACGCAAAAGGTAAATGAGACCCTTATAACCGGACGAAAAAATTATTTTTTTTTTACTTTTTAAATTTGATGATATGAAATTAGATTATATTTATATAAATATTTTTTAAAGTTTTGATAATAATAGTAAGTTTTAAAACATACTCCATCCGTCTGATATTGTATGTTTGGGTTACTGTAAATACGAAAATTTATGATAAATATAATTAGTAGATAATTAATAATCTACTAGTGAAAATAATTATTCTATAATATAAATAATTATTGATTAAAATTAACATAACTAATTAGTTTAATTAAAATTAAAAAAATTAAATTAGAGAATTTAAAATAATATTAAAGTGTAATCATTTTTCAAAAGAGAAAAGTGACATGAGATAAAGACGGATAGAAATGATAATATGAACATGATAGGTGGGAATGAGGGAGTATGATATTAAATTATTACTTATTTCTTTTCCCCAAGTATCATGTCAAATAATTTTTTATTTTTTATTTTAAAAAAATATATACTTCTTCCATCCCAACTCAAAATATTATTTTTATCATTTTAGTCTGTATCAAATTCCAAAATATCACTTTTGATATTTTAGTAAAAGTAATATCAAAATATCCTTAACTTTTCCCTAAATTATAAATATATCATTACAACTACAATGACTTTTTACATAAAGTTAAAGGGTAAAAATATCAAAACTCACGCTTTCACTAATTAATAAAATACTACTCATTTCGTGTCATAAGAATGATACAATTTTCTATTTTTGTCCGTCCCAAAACAAGGATATCATTTCCTTATTAAGTAATTATACTACCTCCCTAAATAATTAATCCATTTACAACTTTCAATATATTACACAAATGTCATTACTTTTATATCATACAATAATAAGGGCATTTTTGTCATTTTCATCATAAATCAATATAATACTAATATTAAAAAATCTACAAGTAAAAAGTAAACGTCACTTTTTTACAGAATGAAGGCAGTACTCCATTTGTCCTATTGAAATGTTACCATTTTTTATTTTCGTCCGTCCCAAAACAAGGTTACCATTTCCTAATTTAGTAATTATATTACATATCTAACATAGTAAATACTCTATCAACTTACAATATATTACACAAATGTCATTACTTTTATATTGCACCATAGTAATAGGGGTATTTTTGTCTTTTTACTATAATCCAATATAATATTGATATTAAAAAATTTACGTACAAAAAGCAAATGTCATCTTTCCAATAGAACGGAGGAAATATTATTTTTTAATATATTACAAAATTTCAAAAAACCTATTTAAACAGTAACGGATGGAGTAATTAAAATGATTAACATTTTACTATTAACATTTTACTTTTTTGTTGGGTCTGACTTGCAGGGTATTAGGTTCGGTCAGAAAGTTTAGTACGTATTTTCGGATAACGGCTTTTCCACATCATTAAAAAAAAAAAAAAAAAAAAAGGAATTTTCAGTAGATCGGGACCACTCAACTCAAGGGTCCCACATAAAACACGGCGAAGATTCATTCAGGCGTTGTACGCCTAGGACCCGCAAGAATAATTAACTACAAGACTGTACTACAGCTACTCAGGAGCTGCTCCAAGTAATCAGCTCCCAGGTCCTCGAGGACCACCACATTCTCCGCCTTCACTTTCTCAATTCCGCCGCCGCCGGTCCGCCGTCTCCGGCGCATAGAGTGCTTCTTCTTCAACGCCATCACCGTCGAGCACCCTTCCTCCGCCATACACCCCTTCATCGCCCTCAGCGACTCCCGGACCTCCTCCGCCGGAAAATTCAGGATCGCCGCCGCCCCTCTCATGGCATACGCCGCCTGATCGTAGGCCATCGCCGCCGCCTCCGCCGTCTGGAACGTCCCCAGCCACACCCTCTCCCCGTTCCTGTTCGAATCCCGAATCTCCGCCGCGAACTTCCCCCACGGCCGCTTCCTCACCCCCCGGAACGCCTTCGCCGTCCCGCCGGCGGCCACTTTTCCGGCGTCCGGCGGCGAATCGGAACTGACCTCGTCGGCCTCCGACAGAACTCCGAGCAGCAACATTTCCTGGGAATCACTCTCGTCGAAAGGAAGGGAATCTTTGGGATAATTTTGTGAATTCTCAGAGGAATTAGAAGTGTCGTTGAAGCTGTGAAGGGCAGAAATTAATTCCATTTTTTAAGTTCTTTTATTTTTTATTTTTTAGGAAATAATCAAGAATTTTGAGAATTAGAAGAGTGTGGGGTGAGTTATATATATATATACACGTGTGTGTCAACGAGGAAGAAGGTACGTCGAAGTGTCCCGACAAGGATTTTATTTAGGATATTAAAAAGGGCGAGGGTAAAATGGGAATTGAAATTGTTACTGTGCGTACGTGATGTCATCATTTGGATCGTAGGGTTTGTTGCGTGATGTCATCATTTGGATGGTATGGTTCATTTTATTTATTTATTTATTTATTTTTATTTTTTTTAATAACGTAGGAATCTACTGTCGCTATCCGAAAGTGTACTCTGAGTAAACCCCCGGCCAAACCTAATATCCTACAAATCAGACTTGACGAAGAAGTCATATTAAACGAACCATATGTGACAGGTGAGCTGAAGCCTCCAGAATTTAAACCCTAACCTCCACGTGTCACAGTCCAACGATGTCATCATTTGGATGGTAGGATTTGTTTTAATTTGATATCGCTTTGTTTGATTTTAGTATAAAATTGACTGTTAAAATTGAGTTTTCTTTTTTTCTAAAAAAAAATAATAATAATAAGTGGCTAATTTTTTTTTTTAATTAAATTTATGTTCAATTTTTTTATTTTAGTTGTTATATAAAAAAAATAAAACAAATATAATTTTTTTTTTAAATCTATGTTATTAAATTTTGTGTTCAATTATATGGGCATAATTTTTTATAATAATAAAAAAATTAATATGATATAAAAAAAATAATCTACTTTTATTACAAATGATATAGCTAATTAAATATTACTGTATTAATTTTGATTTCCAATTACAACGAAACACATGTTTGGTTTGGTTGTATTTTTAATAAAATATATAGTACTACAGTTTTTTTCTTATTCACTTTTAATAATTATGGATATAGTACTGTTTAGATTTTTAAATAAAAATATTTATTATAAAATATACTATTATTATTTAAATAAAAAATCAATTTTTCATTAAAAAAAAAAAAAACTCTAGTGTGTTTGTATGTGGATTTATATGTATTAATAGTAAAAATTTAAATTTGAATAATTGTTTGATGTGATGTTTACGTGATGAATATAAAATTAATTTTTAATATAATATAAAAAAATATAAAATAATTATTTGATTTATATTTTTATATATTAAAAAAAATAGATAGTAAAAATTTTATGAAATTTCACAAATAAATACAATTAAAGAAACCTTGGACTCTTAAATCGAGATATTTGGAAGTTTTGATTTCAAAATAAAATTACTACTATTGAGTTTGTAACACTATTATATTAAAATATTATCTATAAAAAATTCAAATAAAAAATAAAATTTAAATTTTTTTGAAAATAACAAAAGATTCAATAAAAAACAAAGGTTACTATCTACTTTTAGTGTTTAGAATTTTTTTATGTTTTTATTGTAATTATTGAGAAATGTAAAAATATTATTAAAATCCTTACTTGTATTATTTTGTAAATATTTTATAAAAAAATAAATAAATTAATATTTACAAAGAAATGAAATGAAATTTGACGAACGAAAAGAGTATTATTAAAAACGCTTATTAGTATTTTGTGAAAGTAAACAATTCCAAAAACTCATATATTATATTTATTATTATCAATAATTAAATTTAATTTATATTTCATTTTTTGTATTTACTTTTAGAAGAATTTTATGTAAAGTGTTGCTTAAATTAAAATTTTTATAGTCACATCATATTTTTATTATTTAATTATATTTAGATTATTAAGATTATAAAAAAAATCAAGTACATATAAGCTTCTCTTATTAGATGGTAGAAGTGGTCCATCAATTTATCAAGTTATTAAAATGTTTACATATTTAACAAATGTGTTGTTGTTGTGATTATTTGACTGATTGGTCAAAGTTACTTATATTTACTTGATTTGATAGCCTTATTTTTATTTTTATATTTTCTCCTACTCACAAAATATACATAGTTGTATTTTAAGTTATTTAATTATAAAATAATTATTTTTTTAGTAATTATGAATATACTTTTTATATATATATATATAAATACTCCTATATTTACCATCACGATATTACTTATAATAAAAAAAAGTAAAAAATATATATATTTTTATATACTACTTTTAATTACACTATAAATAAAATATTATTATTTTATAAATTTCACGTTAAAAGTAGATATATATTTTTAAAATAGACAGAAAAAGTATTTTATTTTCATGAGTTGAATAATTGGGAATTATAAAGTTCTTTTGTTTATAATTTAATAAATTCAAGTTAAATAGAAATATGCTACTCACTTTGTCCCATAACTAAATATTCATTTACTTTTTGCACGTAATTTTAAAAATATTAATATTATATTAAGATAACGTAGAAATAAAATAGAAATGACTAAAATAACCTTATTAGTATGTGTTATATAAAAGTAATAACATTTGTGTAATATATTGTAAAATGTAAGAGTATTTGTAATGTTAGGTAGATAGTACAGTTACTAAAAAAAGAAATTGATACTTTTTGATATGACAGACTAAAATAGAAAAATAGATACTTTGTTATGAGACGGATGGAGTATTATATTCATTGAAATTAATCTCTCTCTATATATATATATTATATATATAATTAAAATCTTGATTAGAGTTAAATAATACATAAAATATAGTTAGACAACACATAACTAGAATTACTACAATAGGTATAGTATACGTTGTTAGTACATATTATTTGTTTTATTTTATTAGTATATCTCGTATGCTGAGATCAATTTTAGTGGATATTGTATAAATTGCTAGCATGTGTTGTAATTGTGTTATATTAATATATATTTTGTGATATCTTCTGTTAGATTTATATTCCTTATGTTTCAAAACTATAGTTTTAATTGATGTGGACACAGAATTCAATGAATATTAATATTATATTGATAGTTGATAAAAAGTATAAATAAAAGACCTTTTTGTCCTTGTGAGTGTATTAGTGTAAAAAGTAGTGACAATTGTGTAATAAAAATGAAAAGTAGAGGTAGTTTTATAGTAATATGATTATTTATGAAAATAAATATTATTTTAGGACTGACAGTAAATAAGACTATTGTATTGGGACAGAGGGAGTATAAATTTTGTTATTGAATTATGTTTAGATGAAAATTTTTGAGTTATGAAATTTTTAAGAAATTGTAAAATTTACGTATTTAATATGATTATTTAAAATCTTTAATTTGAGTGTTGCCAAGTTTGTAAGTTCTTTTGACTATTTTCAATTTATTAGGGACATATTGTATTTAGAATTGTTTATTAATTAATGAAAATATTGTTATATTTTTTTGTGGACATAGAAATTTATATTGACACTTGTATGAGATATTAAATGCTACCTCAAGAAAGTGAAGACATAAATTGAAAATATCAAAATCAAATATAAAAATATTATTATTTTTCTTATTATATTTTATAAGTGGTCCCTTTTTATAATCAAATTCTCATATTTTTTACTATATATTATTTTTTTAAAGTTTAGTTTTAATAAGTTTTTTTATATAATTATTGTTATTTTGTAAAATATATATTTTTCATAAATATTACGGGTTTATTTGTTTTGTAAAATAGTTTAATATAAAAACAATAAATATGTGTAATATATTATTTTTTTTTTGAAAAAATATATTGATTTGTTTTCACAAAATAAACAAACCAACTATTATTCAAACAAAAAATCGAAATCGAAATACATAACCAAACTAGTGAGTTATTATCATAGGTTATGATTTGTAATTTGAGACAAGCTTGGCTTTGATATAGAAAGAATATATATATAATTAAAATAAAAAATATTATCTCTGGTCTAAAGATTTTATTTACTTTTTATGCGTTAGATTCTTAAATATTAATTATTATATCAAAATATAATATAAATTAAGAAAAAATTGCAAGAATACTTCATTAGTGTCTTATAATACTAGTAGAAAGATATTTGTATAAAAAATTATACAAATGTAAAGATATTTTTAATATTAATTACAATGACGCAAAAGATAAATGTGACCCTTAGAGACGAACAAATGAAGTATATGAATGTGATATCAATATTGTACAGGGTTTCGGTGCTAAAAAAAAAAAACCAAAGAAGGAATATTTATGAAAGAGAGAAAATTGCAAATTTTGGATTGAAATTACAAGTAAACTAATTGTGTGTTTGTTTGAAGTTTGGATTGTGTTTGAATATTCGAGTTTTTTTTATTTAAATAATATTTAATTTGAATTTTTATTATATAAAAAAAAACCACGGTTAGCTTGCCGTTAATCAGCACTGTACTGATTAATTTTAATTTATTGAATTAGTTTTTAATCAAATGTGTCAAAATGAGTTTCTCTATGTCTTAAAATCAATAGCCATGAATTCAAGAAAAAATTGACGATCATTTTCTTAAATTTTTTCATCTTTATACAACATTTTTTTCCCTTTTTTGCAAATTTTATTGCCCTATTTTCATCATTATCATCTTTCTATAATTGATTTGTAATAACATATGTTTATGACAAATTAAGGGATATGAAATTAATTATTTAAAAAACAAAAAAAAAATTAATTAATAGAGAGCTAAATGAGTTAATTAGTTAATTTTTGTGTTCTTTATATATTATTATTATTATTATGTTCTTACATTATTAATATTGTATTCTTGTAATATAATCGTTGTGTTCTTCATATCTTTTTTCTTTTAATTTTTTTTTGTTTAAATATCTTCCTTTTTTGTTGTAATTACTATTTGAAGGAAAATATAAAATCAATTATCTTCAAGGGTTACTTGCATTGCAACTGATGTAGCGTGAGACACGTTCACGATTGATACAAAAACTAAGGGTGTTTTTTTTTTTTTTAAATTATAAATATAAATTAAATTTTTTGTAATATATATAATTTAATAAAATATATACAATATATATGTCATTTTATAGAGAATAAATTTTTTTTATAATATACATAAATAAAAATTTAAAAATATATATGTAGATA